TTCGGTACTGGAAGGCTGTGACTCAGTGGCCTCTGGAAGCTCTCCAAGCTATCAGTAGCTCAAAGGAGGAATTAAAAACTCAACGAACTGCCTGTTCTCCTGAAACTTGTTTTGTACATGCCATGGAAGAGATGAGAGATTTGAAAGAAGGCAGCCCTGTCTAAGAGTCACTGGCTATAACAAGTCACAGCAAGCAATGAATATTTATTTTATTAAAATGCTTAGATGTCTTTTATTGAGCCTTTTTGCCAAGTTTATGTGGAAGAATTTGCCAGAATACCATGTACACTATAATAAACCCCCAGGTACCTAACAGGCTTTCCCGCTTAGTCTTCTGTCCCTGACAGTCTTGATGTAGAGATGTCAGAATACCTGTTTTCTCCCCCAAAATGGGGAGGAGGGACTGAGTAGCATTTATGACGTTTTTCCACCTAGTTGGAAAAGCGGATGTGAACAGAGATACGTCCCGTGCTGGCCATTGAAACCAGGCTTGGGGGTGGCAGGAGGAATCTCAGGAAGATGAGTCTGAGGCTGGATGTTAGGCAATCAGTTGATCAGAGCTCAGGGTAGAAGACAGCCCCTTTGGCTGAGCCTCTGCTTCTAGACAGGAGTGGTCCTTGTTTCACTCTACAGTCTTAGTCCCCAGGTCTGCCTTGCCCTCATCCCAGATCTGTGTCAGGTGGAAATCTTGGACCTCTCCATCCCTGATGGGTAAGGCTTACTTTCAAGCCCAAGACACAAGAGAGCAAAATCAGCAACTCGGATTAAAATAGGAACCAACCTCAAAGTTTCTGGAGACTTCAGGAAATCACCCAGGAAAAGAGCTGTAGTACTTGCTGAAAACAGAGCTTGCAAGCCCAACGCAGGGAGTGAAGTGAGGGACCTGCTTTCAGGAGAGCCTCACTTAGAAAAGGAGAACTTTAAGAGAAGGCAGTACCATGGCTCGATGCCTTCAGATGTGGCCTGTCAGGGTGCATGCCTTGTCACAACCAGGATACATCTTCCCACCCTTTTTGCCACATTTTCCCCATTCTCGAGAGCAAGCGTTGACTGAGCTGGCCCACCCAAGGAAGAGACTCAGTGAAGGGATCCTTACAACTGAAGTTAAAGCCGTTGCTTTCGTGCTTGCTGTGGGTGCTAGGACTTGGTATTGCTGCGCCTCAGTAGCGTATTCTGAGGTGATCAGCCCTGGACAGAAAGCTTATCAGAGACAGACACTTTGCTTGCCTTTGGAAAGGTGGAATTTGTCATCTTCTCAAAGGGGATCTCCAGCTGGAGGAGCTGGAGATCTCTTCACCGACACAGCGGAGAGAAAGATTTCCATCAAACTTTGTACCTAACAGCCAGAACTGGTCAGAAAGTGCCTCTTTCTTTGTGGATCCCTTGGTCATGAAATGCTCATTTGCTCAAACAAAAATATTTTTTCTAGGAAATATTTTTTCAAGGAGCACGTTAAAGATCAGTTAGATAAATTGGATATACATAAATCCATGGGGCCTGATGGGATGCACCCTCGTGTGCTGAGGGAGCTGGGGGAAGTCATTGCTGGGCCTCTCTCCATTATCTTTGAAAGGTCCTGGAGGACAGGTGAGGTGCCTGAGGACTGGAGGATAGCCAATGTCACTCCAGTCTTCAAAAAGGGCAGGAAGGATGACCCGGGAAACTACAGGCCGGTCAGCCTCACCTCCATCCCTGGGAAGATGATGGAGCAGCTTGGTCTGGGAGTCATCTCAAAGCACCTGGATGAAAAGAAGATTATCAGAAGTAGTCAACATGGATTCACCAAGGGGAAGTCATGTCTGACTAATCTGGTAGCCTTCTATGACAAAGTAACTAGATGGGTGGAGGAGGGGAGGGCAGTGGATGTTGTCTACCTTGACTTTGGCAAGGCTTTCGACACTGTCTCCCACATCATCCTCACAGGAAAGCTTAGGAAGTGTGGCTTAGATGAATGGACGGTGAGGTGGATTGAGAACTGGCTTACAGATAGAGCTCAGAGGGTTGTGGTTAGTGGCGCAGAGTCTAGTTGGAGGTTAGTAACAAGTGGTGTCCCTCAGGGGTCAGTACTGGGCCCAGTTTTGTTCAACATATTCATCAATGATCTGGATGAAGGGATAGAGTGTACCATCAGCAAGTTTGCTGATGACACAAAACTGGGAGGAGTGGCTGACACGCCAGAAGGCTGTGCTGCCTTACAGCGTGACCTCGCCAGGCTGGAGAGTTGGGCAGAAAGAAACCTTATGAAGTTCAACAAGGGTAAGTGTAGGGTACTGCACCTGGGGAGGAATAACCCCATGCACCAGTACAGGTTGGGGGCTGACCTCCTGGAGAGCAGCTCTGTGGAGAGGGACCTGGGAGTCCTGGTGGACAACAGGAAGACCATGAGCCAGCAATGTGCCCTGGCGGCCAAGAAGGCGAATGGCATCCTGGGGTGCATCAAGAAGAGCGTGGCCAGCAGGGCGAGGGAGGGCATCCTCCCCCTCTACTCTGCCCTGGTGAGACCGCATCTGGAGTACTGTGTCCAGTTCTGGGCTCCCCAGTTCAAGATAGACAGGGAACTGCTCGAGAGGGTCCAGCAAAGGGCAACAAAGATGATTAGGGGACTGGAGCACCTTTCTTATGAGGAAAGGCTGAGGGACTTGGGTCTCTTTAGTCTAGAGAAAAGAAGATTGAGGGGGGATCTGATTAATACATACAAATACTTAATGGGAGGATGCCAGGGGGATGGGAGCAGTCTTTTTTCAGTGGCACCCAGTGATAGGACGAGGGGTAATGGGCATAAACTTGAACATAGGAAATTCCATCTTAACATGAGAAGGAACTTCTTTACTTTGAGGGTAGTGGAGCACTGGAACAGGCTGCCCAGAGAGGTGGGGGAGTCTCCCACTCTGGAGACATTCAAAACCCGCCCGGACGCTGTCCTGGGTAACGTGCTGTAGGTGACCCTGCTCTGGCAGGAGGGGTGGGCTAGATGATCTCCAGAGGGCCCTTCCAACCCTAACAATTCTGTGAATTCTGTGAATGTGCTAATTCAGACAAAGGTTTAGCCAGAAAAGGCTTTCTTCTTCCAAAAGAGGGAATTTCTAGTTAATGGAGTGAGAGGAAATAGCTCAATTTAACGACCAGCTCAGTGAGTTTCATCTCTCAGCTGACATATAGCAGAACCCAGCTTGTGTCCTTGCTCCAGCAAACGCATCCTGCTCATCCAAAGCGGAACAGCCCCAGCAGGACCAACTCACACAAGGATCTACTGGGTCCTCATTGTGCCTTGGCACGGGGCGACCACTGAGCCTGAAAGTCCTCTATTCTGGGCAAATTCTCTGGCCTCTGGTTGTTGGTTGTCCAGACCAAGTGTGTAAGGTGACAAGCCAACATGCTAGCGGGGACAGAAGTCCCTTGCTGTAGAGAACCTACAACAGCCCCAGCTGTGATGAAGCTTGGCCATTTCCAAGTCTGCTGGGATGAACATCAGCACTCGAGCTGCCTTCAGTTCTTTCCTCTGGCACTGCAGTCTAGTTGATTTTTAAGGGACAAACTCTTCTTTTTGAGTTTTGCTCGTTTGCACGTGTTTGGCCGAGGACAAAAGTTGTATTGAAGGTTCGCGCTCCCCAAAACATGCATGTAGACAACCACATATCAATTTCCTGGAAGTTGCTAGAGCAGCAAAATTTTAAGTTGAGTTCATTTGTGCAGGCCAAAAGGAAGTGCTGATTTCTCAACCTAACCTGCCCTGGCTTCTGTTCCCCTTCTCCCCCTCCAGAAATGTAAATTGTTGGTTTTATTGTAGCCTTTCAGCTATGTAAATACCGTTGCATGGCCGATACGCAATCAATTATAGAGGGAGCAAATGTTTTTCACAGTAATGCAACAAACACTCTTCTTTTTTGTTGTCCTTTGCCTTAAAGATAATTTTTATGTCATGATGATTTCATGTTCAAGTCTCTCCTATTTCTGTGTTGCAGAGATTGTCCCTTTAAGGGGACGTGTGTTTCGAACATGCAGGGGAGGAAGGATATAAATTAGTCTGATACAGGTGTGTAAGCAAATTGGCTGTGGTGACCCGGCTGCCTCCAGCCGTTCAGGCAGCGGAGGTGGCTTGCTGGCAGAGCCGTGCCGTTGTCGGTGCAGTGGCTTGCGTGCATCGGGCTTGCGGCGGCTGCGGCTGCCATTTGTTTGTTTTACATCTGGCACGTGCTGCGGCGCTAAGGAGGACTTGACATACCTTCGGCCGTAAGTGGAGCGCCGAGCCCCTGGGGATCAGTCCCCACGAGAGGCGGCAGTGCCATTCCATTGCCAAGAATAAGCTTCTATCAATAAAAAAAAAAAAAGAAAAGGTGCATCATCCACTACCTTCATCTTACCACGTGGCTGGGTGAGCTTCAGCCTTTGGGAAAGCGTTTCCCCTTTGCCATTGCCAGTGATAACACGAGTCCCAGCTGCAAGTGTAGCCCTTTGGGAATCCTCACCTCCGCAACCACCACCCAAGCAAGACCTTGCAGGTGGGCGGCTGCGACCGCACGCCTCTGAGTGCCCTGCAGTTGTAGGGGCACTAGTTGTTACTATTTGTAGACCTGGCTGGATAAATTCCTAGGAAGCAGTTTTATGTGGTTCTTCTTGTTCGCTTCTGCCAGTTCGCCACGATTGCCAGGTGGTTGCCTGTCAAAATGTCTGGGAGGAAAAAGGGGAAGAGTTTGCTTCCAGCTCCTTCCAGCTGCTACTTACGGGGTGTGGGAATGCCTTGAGGTTCCTCTAGGAGACATATGTGGAGCTACGGTTATTGCAATGGGAAAACCATCACAAATTTGCAAAAAGCCTGGATTTCTTCACGGAGCTTCTTGTGAACAACTTGTGTTGTTACTCCTTGTCTTTTTTTCCAGCTGGAAGAACAAGGTGGTGCCACAGATATTTTCGTTCTTATTGACTCCTAGGCTAGAAGCACAGTTGTCAGCTTGCGGGGAAGGCAAGTAATCTTTCAAAAGCATCTCTCTTCTTTATTTCAGAGTCTCCTGAAATTGGGCCCTCAGTTGTAGTTCATACAACTGTGACCTTTGGAAGCAAGCACCTGGATTCAGACCCTGCAGAGGTGCAGCAGTTAATTCTCAGTCACCTGGAGAGGATTGTGCCATCCCTACCTAAACCGGCCAGCATCAAGTGTCAGAAATGGAGATACTCTCAGGTAGGTTGTGGTGGGATCAGTCAGCTGGGATGATGCTGCTGGGGCAATGCCGTAGTGCAGACTTGCGGTGTGTCGCAAGAAACGGGACATCATATGACCCAGGGGGTTTCATCCTCGGGGAGCAAGAGGAAAGGGGATAGTTGCTCGATGTCCATAATACATTCCTCCACGTAGCCATGAGCAGCATCCAAGGCTGGTCAACGACAGCCAGATCTGTTTCTAGTTGTCTTTTTACACAGTGGACCTGGCTCAGTGGTAAGTTATGCAGCACTCTTGGTAAGTAGGGACAGGAGCAGTGCACAGGAAGGAAGTAAATCCCACGTACTTCCCTGGGATTTTCACTGGTATTTAAAAATATGACTCAATCTGTCTCGTCTGTATCTGAAAGTATATGATATTAGCAAAATTCCCACCCTACCGCAGAGTAGCAGAAGTCCTTGCGTTCAGACGTACTAATTGTTATTATTTGATTTGGCCCAGTTCTATTTAACGGTACGGTATGCGAAAAATATTTTGAAGTAAACTACCTAATGGTAATAATAGCAAAATGTGTATATTTTACAGGCTTCTTTTAAAAAATCCAAGGAAATTGTTGGCAATTTCCTGAAGTATTGGAGTGTATCTACATGTTTACCCAAAGCCTCTTGAGTTAAATTACATTGGTGAAATTGAATGTGGAAGTTGATGCAAAATATTTACTTAAAGCAGTCCCCTAAAAAATTTTCCTTTTATGAAGTCTGGAAAAGTTACTGTAGATGACTGTTGTGAAGTCTGCTCATAGCCCTTGATCTGCATCCAGTTTAGGAACTTGGTCTCATTAGCGCAAAGTTTATTCTTCTGCGAGTTAGGTATTGGTAGCTTGCAAATCACTTCTCAGTGCGTAGTGTTTGTTCTCAGTCGTCGTATACAAACGACCTTAACATAGGTTTTAATGTTTCAGATGACTCATACAAAAATCATGGTATGTTTTATACGTTCCTCTTTATCAGCTCAGGGTTGGTGGTTGGGTTTTTTTGCTAGCAACACTGTCTCTGTACAGTTGTCACTGCTAAGACATCCTTTTCTGGTTGTGACTTCTGGTCTTTTCTTCTGCATGATCTGTTACCTTTCTGCTTCAAACTGCTTGCAAGCACAAGAGCTGCAGGCGGTAGGGAGGAGAGTTGCATCTGTCTCCAACAGACAGAGACTCGGTTGGCCAGCTCTGGAAAGGGCTCCCAAAACAAACAAAGAAGTATTTTTAAACAGAATTAATGCACCCTAGATACGGCTGCTATCACAAAGCTCTATCATAAAATGTGAGGAATTCAGCTACTTTGTTTATGTGTGCAAGGAAAGGGCTTAATATGCCTTTTCCTTGCACTACTCACACTTACAGCACTGTCAAAGGTGACATTTAAGCATATACATCATATATGGCCCATTCTCATTTATTTCACCAAGAAAACGTGGATAAAGGAAAAGACAAGAATGGCAATTAATTTCTTACTACTGAATTTAAAAAAAAAAAAAAAGTCTGAATTGCATTTTACCAAACAACTATGCTTTTTGAATCCTGGCAGAATTACGGCCGTACAGGATTTATTATAACCTTGTACCTATTGCTTCACCTTTTAGAGGCAGCTGGAACAGCGACTGTAGAAATGAACTCTTATTTTCCACAATTGCTTCAAAATTGTTGTCTTCCTAAATCACTAGGTGTGTGTCCTGTTTCCCCTATTTAAAAATTACATTCAGACATCGTACTGCTGGATGATGCTCTATTATTTTCTCAAACCACCGTACAATTTACAGCTCTTCCCGCTTCCTTCTGCCTCTGTTGCTTGCTGTCGACCGTGCTGCTGCTAACCAAAACCACCGACTTCAGCAGCTGCTTGCGCTTTATGGCTGTGTCACAGGAGGAATTATCACCGGTCTTTAATTTGGGGGATGAATGTCAATACATCTTAGATTGCAAATAAGTCAGTGTAGGTCAGATCCGTTATCTCAATAAAGAGATCTCTATTGCCACCCTATAAAGTAATCACTACCCAAATTAAAGATCTGGAACAGAGCTCCCTCTTTCTCTTAAAGCTATCTTTACTTTCAATTATAACAAGCTGTTGCCACAGAAGCAAAGGGAACTGATAAGAAGGGTGCATCTTTCCCCTGACTCTTTTAGACGGGATTTATCCTACTTGTTAATTAAATCCGGCTGTAACATCCTTCACATGGCCAAACACAATCCTGGGATTAAAATGCAGACATTACAATTATCCATGGCGGATGAGGGATTAGGACTTCCAAACTTCTACTGACACTGCTTAGCAGCACAGCTGCAATTCTGGATCCTCTGCTTTAATTATGATAAGACACTATTAGCATTCAGAGCCAACAGCTTCCCAACCCGTCATGTCTCTCTGACAGAGCCACTTTATATCTATAAGGGATACTGGGAAAAGACGGAGTCATAGAAATTGGACCTCTTCAGAGGGGACCTCAGAAGGGACCTCTTCAGGTCTCTAGTCCAACCTGTTGCTCAAAGCAGAACTATTCACCGGCATTAGGTGACCTCGACCGTGGTTTTGTCTAGCTGAGTCTTGAAGTCTTTGAGGACAGAGATCCAACAGGCGGTGCCCTATAGCCGAGGGTAATTTGGAATTTATGTTGGACAACACCTTCAGAAGAGCTCGAAGAAGGGGCAGGATCGTTCCCTTCCGCAGTCACTGTGTCTAGAGGTGAAAATATTGATCCTGCGATCAGTATGACAAACCAGGATCTGTTTGGTACAGCCAGCATCAGATAAGCACTGGGTAGTGAAGAAGGAAGGAAGGACACTCAGAATGCCTTTTCCTGCTAAACCTTCCTTGATTGTTTCATGCTCAGTGACCTCGATCTGTAAGAAAAATTTAGGAATAAATTAGGTACTGACCTGAAATTAGTCTGAGAAAGAGGATCTCTGGCTGGATTTACCATACATGGCTAGACTCTTCTGTTAAGTTGAGTCATGGAGAATGAGTGGCAACTGGCTACAAATTAATTTCAGATAATTACCTCCTTTAAAGAGATGCTAGCATGCATGCCGGTAACACAAAATGCAGCCAGTAACATAAATGTGGGTGTTTTGCAACTGATCCGTACTTGGAAATGGCAGATAATGGCACGGCAGTGGCTACCTGAGCGTACGTTTGAGTCAATGGAAAAATCCCCCAGACTGAACAAGCTGCCTTGGACTTTAGGTCTTGTTCGCCGAAGCTGACAGTCACACAGTGGGATACAGTAAGGGTTTACCACACAGGAATCTGAAACATAGCTTTGAACCAGAGGCAGAAAGTCAAGAAATGATCGAAAGAAAATTGTACTCTCTGTATCATGCTTTATGATCTCTATGGTTTGATCTCCATTGCTCCTCTACTGCTGTGCTTTTTTTTTCTCTCTCTCTCTGGCTTTCTACATATTTTTTCCTCTACTTCAACGTTTCATCCTTACAGGTCTTGTTTTGTCATTCCTTTTCTCACACTATTTCTTCCCACCTTCTTCCTCCAATCATAGAATCATAAAATGGTTTCAGTTGGAAGGGACCTTAAAGACCATCCAGTCCCACCCCCTGCCCTGGGCAGGGCCACCTCCCACCAGCCCAGGTTGCTCCAAGCCCCGTCCAACCTGGCCTTGAACACCTCCAGGGATGGGGCAGCCACAGCTCCTCGGGGTAACCTGCGCCAGGGACTCACCGCCCGCACAGGGAAAAGTTTCTTCCTAATATCTAATCTAAGTCTGCCCTCTTCCAGTTTGAAGCCATTACCCCTCATTCTATCACCACATACCCATGTAAAAAATCCCTCCCCAGCTCTCCTGTTGCCCCTTTAGGCACTGGAAGGGGCTCTGAGGTCTCCCCGAAGCCTTCTTTTCTCCAGGCTGAACCCCCCCCAACTCTCCCAGCCTGTCCTCCCAGCAGAGGTGCTCCAGCCCTCGGATCATCCTCATGGCCCTCCTTTGGACCTGCTCCAACAGGTCCATGTCCTTCCGATGCTGGGGACTCCAGAGCTGGATGCAGTACTCCAGGTGGGGTCTCAGCAGAGAAGAAGGGGAGAATCCCCTCCCTCGCCCTGCTGGCCACCCTGCCTTTGATGCAGCCCAGGGTGCAGGTGGCTCTGGGCTGTGAGCGCACATTGCTGGTTCACGTTGAGCTTCTCATCCACCAACACCCCCAAGTCCCTCTCCTTAGGGCTGCTCTCCAGCCGTTCTCAATCCATTCACTTCATCGTCAAACTGTCCTGCATCTTCATATCTATTTTATGTCTTCTGCCTGCGCCTGCCTTGCCCTCACGTTTACCTTTAGGCCAGCGCTGCTGCTGCTGCCTTATCTCTGATTTGAGATTCACCAGTGCTGCTCTGGGATGCGCTGACTTAGTATAACAGCTCAGCCTCTGTACGTAGGTTTGAAGCGGGCCAGAACAACACGGGACACAGCCGACCGTGGTGAAACAGAAATGCTGTGTGCTTTTACTCTGCTGTTTGACACGCGTCGGTGTTTGTCATAAAAGTACAATAACAAGAGGTCTTGTTCTCCCCATGATTTCCAGGTGGCTCCAGGCTAATAGGTACTGGCCAAAGCAAAGTCCATTCACTTTTAGAGATGTTACACAGAACTGCTCAAGAGCTGCCACTCCACAGATACCAGACTTAATTCTTGTGCCAGGAAAATTATATTGAAAATTAATACAATGCATACATTGAGAATGTTATTAAATATTTATCAAAGTAACCTTATTCAGAACTTGTCCCATGCTACTTACAGAGAAAGTGTTGATTGTATCTCTAGTGGTGTCTAAAAATTGTGCTACTCAGATGAAAAGGAGACCAGCCTCGCAGAACTGGAGACGGGGTGGGTTGTCTTGAGGCTTTACGTACATTTGCACAACGGCATGAAGTGTGGGCAGGTCATCATGACAGTAGTTACTCTTCCCATCCAGGAAGGTCACCTGGTCAACCCAATCATGTTGCAGGCTCTTGGAAATGACAGGCTGCCTTGCCCAGTTACGTATCTGGGGGGTTTTGCGAGCCCACCTTCGGTGATGTGAGATCGTGCACCTTTCAGCTGAGGGATCTCCATACCTCATGTCTCCAGGGCCAGGCGATTCATTTCTGCTGAGGCAGGTTGGGAATAAGACAGAATGGGGCTGTAAAGTTCCTAAATTGCTACATACAGGAAAGCTTTATTCTGATTATTTTACTCCAGAAGATCTTTGATAGTTAATGCTTGGACCTATGATATGGGATGGGAGGGGTGCTTCGTATGAAGGTGTGTTTCTGAGGAATGCGGACCTTTCTGGCATGAAATTCAGGTAAATAAAACATGTTCTTTTCCATCTACCTGTATGCTTTTCTTTTTCAGGTTACAAAAGCTGTGCCCGATTGTCCGGGACGAATGATTCTTCATACTCAACCTCTCCTGATTTGTGGGGGCGATGGATTCACTCGTTCCAACTTCGATGGCTGCATAGATTCTGCTCTGAGTCTTGCAGAGGCTGTGAAGTCTCATTTGTAGCAATTTCAAAGTCAGCTGCTAAACATAGTCGAGATTTAAGATGAATTTTACTATGATGGATTGAATTAAGTTTAGCGTTAACATCACTGGCCTCTATCTTGCAAAAAAAATAAATAAAAGAAGATCTATTGGTGTGCTGTAGTAATTATTGGGGTGGGATTGAATTGAATTTTCTTAGTGTATGGTTTTCGGGAGCCCTGGTTGCATGTTGCTGGAAGAGCTCATTGAAGAGTTTGATGATATTACTGGCAGTAATGTGCCACGGAAACACGGTACCTGTCCTGGGGGCGGTCTAAGCAGCACCACCCCAGCGGTGCTCATCACAGAAAGAATGGAGAGAAGGTGTAAGAGAAGGTGTGCGTGTTTCTGGCGCTCTCGTAGCAATAGGGCTGCCATCCCAAAGTCATCTTGGGAATAGACGTTGACATCTGGGCTGTAACATGAGTTTAACGCAGTAAAGGTTAGAGAGTCCCGGGTGCAGCACAGTTCTCTGCTGGTCCAGAGTCTCCAGATCAAGGCGCAGCCCTTTCTCCCTTCCCGCTGGTGGAGGAACTGGGGTAGGAGCAGCCATACGGGAGGCAGTTTAGCTGCTTTGCCTCGGCAAATGCCGAGACGAAGGAGAACGAAGAATTTATCTAAGCGTGGTCCGTGGCGGCGCGTTAATAAAAAAACTGGGCTGACATTTCAGCCTCAGGGTTACATCACCACCACCATAAAAACTCCTTTAAAGTAAACGGCCAGTCTGAAAGCGAGGTGAGTTCTCGGCAGCTGTATATTTTGGCAGAACAGGTGTAGAAAGAGAGGGACAGGTCCAGGGAAGGATATAAATACACGTGTGAGTGAACTAACAAGGAATTTGATTTGAAATACTAATAAAAAAAATAAACACCGAATATAATTGTGTTGAAAATGCTCCCTGTCACGGTTTCAAGTATTTCTAAGCTACTAAACTGTGTTTCTGTGAAGTCCGTGTTGAAATTACTCAGAAATTAACCAAGAAATCATTTATTTATTCTGAATTTGATTTTAGCTTGCCCTTCCTCTTAAATCACGTCACCAGTTCAGTACCTCTCTCTACTACAGGGCTAAAAATAACAAAATGCTGTTTTCAGCAGACAGAAATTTAACCATTAGAGAAGTACAATTCAGCCTCTTTTTCTTATAACCCTGCATTTCACCAAAATCCGACATCCTGTATTCACAGCAACCGAACACTGTAATTTACTGCTGCGTTTGACCATTTCTGATGCGGTATTTTAAGTGACAGTAAGAACTTTGAAACTTAATTTTAAAAACAGCTTTGAAGGGTATTTCGTGATACCATGCGGTTTTACTGATTTTTTTTTGCCCTCTTTCAGCTTCCGTCCACGCCCGGCTGTCCTGCGGGATTCAGTCCCCAAGGGACTCACACGCTGAACCGTACAAGAAAGAGGGTTTCCTGCTGGGTTGTCGCTTCCCCTGGAAGATGTTGCCATGGCAGGTGGACCAACCGTTGCTCTGTCCGTGATGATGGTCTCTGGGGACCCGTCCCACCAGTCTGCCTCCGTCCACGCTCTGCCTTAGCGTACAGAGAAGGATGTGGGTGCTTTTCCCACAAGGGTGAAGGAGCAGGCTGTAACTTTAGGGGATCTCTCCAGGTTCTTCGCTTGTGCTCTTCTCCTCATCTTCACCCTTTGTGTTCTGCTCCTTTCTTCAAAGATGGGTTTTGCATTAAAACACGCTAAAATTCGCGCTCCCTTCCACCTTCAATTTCAGATGGAAGCAAGCCGAACCGCTAAAAAAACTCCAAATAAAGATAAATCCTGAAAGCGTGTGACATGCAGAAAGCTGAAAATGAGGCGTCTTTGACTTAGCGCTGTGTCGTTCCTCTCGCCACCTCACCAACAGGCGTGCTCCAAAGAGTCGTGATGTTCTCAACGGTGCCTTGTATCAGGAGCAGCCTTCAATACCACAAGTGACAGATAAGTGGAGAAGTCTCTGACCCCATCCTCTCAGCAGTCTTGCCGTTTTGGTCATTATGAGACCTCAGAATACCCAGTAAATAAGCATAGATTCAAAGATTTTTTTGTGTGTCATGAGATTTTCGATTCAGAGGGTTTCGAACGTGAATCACAGTGAGTCTCAAATTGCTCCCATCCTTCCCCGTATCATGACGTTCTATCAAAACGCCTCTTTCCTATAGCTTCCTTCCAGATTAAGGTGATTTAAACAAAACCGACTTGTTTTTTTTAAGGTGGAGTAGAAAAGTTCCTATTCCTCTGGACGTGCTCCAGACAGCGGGCACTTAAAGGTCTCTGTGGTGATATCTTATTGGGGATATCTCATCTTCTAGATGTGTGCAGGGAGACAATGGTATTAACTTTTCCCACGCAAGGCGGGTAACGAGTGGTGATATTTCAAAGGGGCCACTGTATGCAAAAGGACAGCAACAGAAGAGACTTGTCTGGTTGATTTCCTGGGCTTTTCCCTGGATGGACGTAATTTTCAATTAACTGGCAGATCCATCAATTACAACCCATATCTCCTCGTTCCCAGACAAGGGTGACGGCTGCGTCTGATCTCCTGTGTGTCACGAGCCTCAGCTAACGCCCAAAGTTGAATTAAAGCATTTCAGCTCTCAGATGACAATGTTATTGTCTTCCTCATCACAAGGAAAGACGAAGCCATAAATGCTCAAAGCCTTTTAACTCACAGTTGTGTTATCTTCCACGCAGTGAACATGACTCTGCAGGGTTGGCCCATGGCATCTGGTGCAGAATAGCAGACTAGGTGTTGGCGGAAACGCTTGGGAGACACAACTACACTTTGACATCTCCTGCTAACAGAAGCGTGGTGAGACCCGTGGCTCAGCCAGGTGTGATCCACCCAACGTTGGCCTCAGCAGCACCATGCAAGGCAATTTTTGTGTCACAACTGTCACATGGTCCTCAATCAAACGCATTTGAGAAAGCCAAGCTTGCTGTACTGAGCCATTGGATCCCGTACTCTGCCACCCCTTCCCCTCACAGACTGCCCTTGGTTATCTTCACAGCCCTTTCTTCCTTCTTCTAGGAGATGCCTGAACTGAGCACCATGTGCATCCACACACTGCTCTGCAGAGGTGTTCTTGAACACAGTACTGACTGAAATCTTTGGCACGAGCAAGGAGATGTTTGGCGCTTTTCTGCCCAGCGGGCAGACGGGACGTGTGGCACAGTCTCTGTGCTGTTGCCACCACGTCACAGATACTGAGGCAGACCCGTCATATCCCATTCCATGCCAAATTTTGGAGGAGGCCCTGGCAGAGTTCGGCTTGAAGTCATGGCACACCCTCTCCTCCTGAGGGGCATCCCTCTGGCAAGGGGTTAGGGCCCTGTGGGTGAGGATCTGACCCTGACTGCTCTCTGTCCACTCCTGGCATCTGACCCTGCTGCAGATCCCTGATATGGAGCAAAAGTGCTGTGAAGTGGAAGCCTTTTAGAAACCAAGTGTCATAGGAAGCCACAGGACTCCGCTGGGAGCCCATCAGAGCCACAAAGCCTGACTCCACAAAGCGCTATCAATGATGTGCTTAAAGAGCTCTCCTTACCCTCCGTGTTACGTCTGCGGCCCCAACACGGACAGATCTGCTTATCTTGTGTCCCAAGGGCTTCAGAGACAGCTCTTTTCCCAAGGCAAGGAAGATGTTTGGAGCAGATGCTCATCGCGTGAGCTGTGGTGCCTTGTGGGAAAATCATAGAATGGTTTGGGTTGGAAGGGATCTTAAAGATCACCCAGTGCCACCCCCTGCCCTGGGCAGGGCCACCTCCCACCAGCCCAGGTTGCTCCAAGCCCCGTCCAACCTGGCCTTGAACACCTCCAGGGATGGACAGCTTCTCGGGGCAACCTGCCCCAGGGGCTCACCACCCTCACGGGAAAGAATTTTGTCCCAATATCTCATCTAAATCTCCCCTCTTCAGTTTGAAGCCATTCCCCCTCGTCCTATCACTACAGCTCTAGGCTAAACTAGCTCTAGTTGAGCTCCAGGGTGAGAAGCTGTGGCCATATATGGTAGCCCAATCCCATATACATGTTCCCAGCTGAAGGCCGTGACTCTGCCATGTCCAGTGGACGTGTCCCCATGGTCATGCTTGCTGCAGGGGGGGTCAACCCCTTCCCAACCTCTCCATCCACGGCAGGGCTGCATCTGTCCCTACGCCAGGCTGCAGAGAGGATGTCTTGTTACGACCCTGCCTCCAGGGAACACAGTGCGGCTGTTAGTTGGGATAACTGTCACAGATCCATAAAGTCATCTGCACACCTTTTGGTGCCGTTCGTGCAGTTGGTAGGAATTTAGCCCATTTCTAAAAAAGGCTCGGAAGAGGAGACAGGCGCCCGGCTCCTCAGCTCACATTGATTCACAAACCGCATGTCTCCAAGGATGGGGGCTGTATTTTTTTTTTTTGCAAGCGTATGAAAATAAATTAAGAGATTATTTTAGTTTTGAGGGTTGTTTGTTGGTTTGGGTTTTTTTAATTTTTAAAAGGCAGCTGCAGATGGGAGGTGCTGTCCAGCTGAAAATACATGGTGGGTTTCCATAGCACTGAGCTGTGAAACATCCCTGCAGCCAAAGCTGCTGGAGCAAGACCTGGTGTCCCAGAGGCCAGGATTTGCTCGGGATCTTGCTGCCCTTGGGGTGTGCCAGCATCGTCACGTTTGGCTCTTCTAGAAGGCACGTGCGCCTGAGAAGAAACGTGTGGAGGTCACTGGCCCAACATGCCCTCTCTCCCAGCAGGACCAGCAGGTTGCTGGGCGCCGTGTCTGGGCAAGTTGGGCCATCTCCATCCTCCACCATGACCACACTTCTTCTTGATGGAGGGACAACATTGTGCTGGTGCAGCACCAGCTTACAAGCAGTTGGCTGAGCAGCGGCAACAACGTGGCGTGCGATACCGACAGATGAGTTCCTCTTTGAAATAAAGGCGAAGAAGAGGAACCTGACCCCCACACCACCCAAAATTGTGCAGTCGTGTCTGGGTCATTGCTCCCACCGCAGCTGCAGGCTGAGCCCCGGCGCCCAAGGGCTTTGTGACCGCCTGAGCAAAGGAGGTCTTCGCTCAGGCTGCTCCACGCCGCAAAATTCGACGTAACGAACCCCAAATGGCTGGTGATGTGCCATTA